CTTCATCTGCTCCGCCGTGACCTCCAGATAACCCCCAAAACAAACTCCCCACCTCCAAGCCGAGGTTACTTATTCATAATCCCACGCAGAGCTGATCTCCCGTTCATCCTCTGCGCTCTCTGGAGGAGCGGAGGAGATGATTAATAATGACTGAGCCAGAGATCTCGCGTGAACAAACATCTGTTTATAGTATTTTTGGTGGAATTCACCGGAATGAATCTCCAAAAAAAAACAGATTTCACCCCAAATACAAACCAAACACGGTTCACCAGCACGTCTCACCTTGTCCATCGTCCCCCTCATGATACGGGCTGACAGGAGGTGTCCACTGGGAAATCGTCTTAATCCAAAGTGGCATCCGCCCTTCCTCCTCCTCCTCCTCCTCCTCCAGCTCGGTTATTAGGAACCCTTCAGGAGCTCTGAGACGTTTCATGTGTTTCAACCGCAGAAAAACAAGGGCTTCCTGTCCACAGGGAGCGGATAAGACAGTGAGAGGTCGAGACAAACAAAAAGGTGCAGCTGGTTCCAAAGCTACAAACACGGGCATCTAAAACGGTGATAATTGACATTGAGATGGAGACCCGAGTACAGAGGAGAATGAACGGAAAAAGCACCAACAGCAAGGCCATTGGTAAAATCTGAAACAGCAAAATGGAATAATTGTGTTTGAATTAAGTCTGTGGATATTTTTCAGCTTAAATTACACGTTACGCTTTGAAAATGTGCCGATTTGGTTCTTGAGTTTGGTCCGAGCTGCTGCCGTTGATCAGCTGATTGTCTCCACCCGGCTGCCCCCCGTCAGTCAGGTTTCTCCCCCCGTGTGCTGAGAGCAGCCGAGGTCCGTCCGTCCGACTCTCACCTGCGGCATGTTGCCGTCCGGGCGTGTCGATGCATTCTTGTCCGTCCACCTGATCGCCTGCAGTCTGGAGGTGGAAAGCCTTTTTTGTTACGGGACTCAAAACATACAGTAGCCGTGGAAACAAATGAGGCGAACGCTTGTTTTTGAAAAAATGTCTTTTTTTTCTTCTCAAAAGCGCAGTGTGGTCATCAACGTGTTCGTCAGATGATGGATGCTCACCGGCAGCTTCACCGAGCTGCTGTTTGATTGTACAGAGTCTGACGGGCCTCTTTTGTCATCCCGTATGATGCATAATTCACACATTTTACTAAGCAGGAAGTAAGAGGACAGGGTTGTCATTTCCTCAGTGTGTGTGTGTGTGTGTGTGTGTGTGTTTGGGGTACTGGGGGACGACCAGATGAAGCGTCTGGACTTTTACCGTCCCCGGCTGGTGGAACCTGCGTGTCCCTGAAGGCCTCGTCTCCATATAGAGGCATGTTTGTGCTCTCAGACTAAACTGCAGCAGCAGGACGACACATTCTTCGGCCTGCAGCTGAGAGGGAATAAACCGACTGGGGGCAATGTGTGAAAGACCCCGCGCTCTTAACTCACGTTAAGGATCACATTCAACAACCTCCCGCTTGACGAATGGTTGGAGAGGTGCTCGTTGTTTGTACAGTGTGCAACTTGACAAACTACCACAGGCAATTGTTTTACAATTACTAGTAAAAAAACATTTAAAGAACAGCATGAACCCGGCCAACGTCAGCCGACTCCAAACGTACGATTTATACGTGACTGATCAAATTAATTGCCGAGGACCTCTCCTCCAATTTTCCATAAGAAATGCTTTTAACGCGTGAGCGACGATCGCCCACATCGGGAGAAACTAGGCGGATGAGTGAGGTCGCTCCCAACCAATTGATGGTAATGCACTGAATTAGTGCTTCTTTTTTGGGATGATTGCAGAGTTTACCTCAAATTAGCTTGACAGTTGAAAACCTGGCTAATGATTTCCAATGACAGCAAGGAAATACTCATGCCATGCTAATTGGTGGCTAATTGTTAACCGGCCTGCAGAATTCTTCTTCTTCAACTTCCTCTGCAATGAAGCCTTGCTTATTCTTTAAGAAGTGTCTCTCGGTGCAAGCAGGCTGAGCTTTTGTCCGCGCTGTCTTGCTTTCTGTCGGGAAGGAGATCTGGAAATGCTGCCGTTGTATATTGCGGAGAGAAGAGTCGACGCATGCCCACACACACGCAACGGGGAGAAGGCAGAACAACAAGAGCGTGACCTATATATGCCAGGGACGCCGTAACAATGCATGGCTTATCAACACAAAATAACAGCTGCAGAAGCAAGAAAGAGCCGATCCACAAGCGACAGCAGCTCCCCGAGATAAAGGTCCCACACAGTTTATTCCTCAGTTGGCTAAAAAAAGAAAAAACGGAATGTGGAGAAAGCGGGTGTGTGTTCTCCACGAGAGGCTTTGGTTTGTTTCTCCTGCGCTCCCACCAGACGGAGGACCGCGTGTTTTTAATAAGATGGCTAATATCACCAATACACCTGAGCATTTGTACCTGTTTACAACTGTCCTCCCTTCGTTCCTTTTCTTCATTCTTCTCATGTTCAGTCTAAAAGCCTGAACCCCCCCCCCCCAACCCCTCAACCCAAAGCAGAATAAAACTTTTACTTTTATTTATACTGAAGTAATAAAGAATGAACATTCCTGTTCTCTCTGATCTGTGATCAGATTAATTGGCCATGAAGCAGTCGAGACAATTTAGTGATGAAAGAACTGAGGTAGTAAAGAGTTCTATATCATTTAACCACCACTGTCTGCTAAACATTACGTCCCCATATAACAAAACTACGCTGCCGTCTAACTAATGAAGTTTTTTATAGCTTTGTTTGCTGTCTTGCAATTCGCAACATTAACGGCCTGTTTTAAAACCGCGACTAAAATCGAATTCTAAAGTGTCACCAGTGAAACAGAGCCGGCTGTTTGGGTTGGAGGCGTTTACAGTGTCAGCGTATTATCTTTTAATTTTGTGCTGTGACTGTAGCAGCGCGCAGACACAGAGCCCAGTAATCAGCAGCTTGTTTTGCTCCGGCGGAGACGGCGATGTTCCTGCTTTAAGCAGATAATTGGAGAGCTGAGGGAGCCGGCGACAACGGCCGCAGTGGGAGGATCAGAGCAAGAGTTCACAAATGTGCTCCTGCAAGAACCGCTTTGTTTGGTTTGTCTTTTTGCTTTTTTGACCTAAACACATTCCGCCACTAATGTCAAAATAAAGTACGCGCTCACTAGTTGACCCGTGTGTGTGTAGAAAGTAATAGAATGATGACCGACGTCTCCGTAGGTGTCGGCCTCATGCGATCGCGTGTCTGTTGGGAGTAGAGACACCAAGCAGACACTGGATTTAAAAACCTAATTTTGATCACCTCGGTTGGTCGGTTGGTCAGAAAGTATAAACTGGTGTCAGACGGTCTGAGTAGCTTTAAGCTCCAAATTGTCAAACGGTGGTGTTTCGTGCTGCCTGCTGCAGAGGCACAGCTACTGTGTTGAGTTGGTAAAAGTCCGGCCGGGGTTTCTTTTGACAGTGAAACAGTTCCTTCAACATAAACAAGGACACGCGTCTCTGGAGGCCGCGTATATTCGGAGGCCGTTGGTTTTATGGGCCACTCGTGCGGCTAACTGGGCTGCACACATGTGGCCCACCTAGATCTTTCCAGCATGTTTAAAACAGACAAATGGGTCAAATGCAGAGAGGCTCTGCTGCTGCTTTTACTGGAATCAAATGAGCGGAGACAGGCCCTCATCCCTTCTAATAAGGTCAGGCTTACTGAATAGAAACCATAACTGTTGACTTTGCAGTAAAAAAAATGCCCTTTTTGCAGAGAGAGATTTCCTAAATGAATCATACGATCCATCATGCGGTGGCCTTTGCTTCAAACACAGACTTCCAACAATTGAACTTCAGTTAAACCCTGCTGTCTAAACACAGACTGCGACTCAGTATAAATAATGATTAACCACAGCCGGTAACAAGACCAAATGTGTCTCATTCAAAGAATCAAATGACTACATTCAATGAGTCCACACACACAAAACTAATCACAACATTCAACCCCCGGAGTGAGCCCTACAACTTTGAAATATGAAGGCTGAATTTTGGGACCAAAAATGCAGAAAAAGGCTATAATAGCTTATGACATATAGCTTGAGTAGCGCTGCACCAAGATAATCCTGACGTAGAACCACACACATGAGGGGTGATCATGGGACTAAGGCGTTCATGTTTGTGCCTCTTGTCGGGGTAAACACGGCTATTAACGCTGCAGACGACTCCGAGAAGGGAAACCTGTTCCCTGAATCACTGGGTTGGTCCTGCTATGCTGTTGCCATAGCAACGGGTAGTCCCGAGATGACAGGGGTCTCTGTGTCCCTGTGGGTTTTTGCCTTTTGTTGCAGGGAAACCTCTGAGTTTCTCTGTGCCTGCTGGGAGAGGAAAGAATAGCAATTTATAACGATATGGGACTTCTCTTTTAACTTTGGCTTTTTGGGAAATATTAGATCCTCTCAGTTCAGAGCATAAATGTGTCCTGGGTGTAACTGAGGAAAAAAGACGAGGCATCTGTTTGGGCTTTAAGGAGAATTCGTGATGAAGCAGACCACTTATTGTATTTCACGCAGCGTGCAAAGAAACCGGCATCTCGTCCACAAAGGACGGAGCGCGCCGGTGAGCACTGGTCCCATTGGAGCACCGATTGCTGCTGTAAACACTGTTGTGAAGCAGAGAATTCAGCACTGCAATGCAGATCCATAAATTTCCCAAACGAGCTCCGGCAGAGCTCTGAATGTTCACCCCGTGTGCTGTGGATGGAAACCCGAACCTGCCTTTTATTTACATCCCGAGCTTCAGAAGGGTTTACTCTCATTCAACCTCTCGCCGGCTAAGCTCTGTGACCTTTGACCCTTTTGTTTCTTTGAAGGACACCTGTGAGCATCTGGGTAGAGAAATCAACCAAGTCAACAGCTCATAGGTTGTTGTTTTTTTACATGCCAAGCAGTCTGTATTATCCCCTCCGCCCCCCCGCAAACCCCCAACTGGTGCCAGTGTAACCTGTAGCGTATGAATGGAAAACAGTCACCGCGAATGATGGATTTTAAATGTTTTAATATTCAAAAAATACTTCAATTTTGGCTTCTTAGTACATAAACCACCTGGATCGGCTCCTCTAATAATACAGTGTAGTTCGCTACTGTTTGTTAGGAAATGAAAAGTGCAAAGTAGTGGGCACTGTGTCCTCAGTCCAGCACGCAGGGGGGGGGGGGGGAGAAAACAGTCAGCATGACATCCAGACTGAAACTACACATGTCTGTCCTGGTATTCAAAGAAAAAAAGAAAAAGAAATAATAAAAAAAAGAGCAGGGGGCACAAATGACCCGCGCCACGTGCAAAAATCAAACGACCTCCTGTGGGTGGAGATGAAGACTACTGGGCCTTAACAGTCCTGGTGAGCGACGGCGGAGGAGCTTCATCATCCGGGTCACTCCGCGTCCAAAGTCCACGGCGGGGCAGCAGATTAACGGGCCAGCCCGCGTCTCTCCCTCCGCGCTGTCCACCTGAAGAGCCACTTCAAGTTTCTTTAGTCTTTTTTGGTTATCGCATAGTCTATATCCTGCAGCCTCCCGTGTGCCGAATGATGCACTCAGCAGGGCTTCACAGCTTTAATCCAAACTGAGGATGAGGAGAAAACAAAACGATAGGAAAACACTGCAAAGTAAACACTGGCACAACCGGGACCCCCGCACAGTTTATTGGACTCAATCGCCTCCTCCCAGAAACCGCAGCTGTTACCGCTTCTTCTTCTGCTTCAGGGATTTCCTCCTCTTCAGTATCATCTCATACAGCTTGTCCATTCCCTCGTGAAGCCCCTCGCCTATTATGGCGCACGCGGGTTGGATGTGATAGGCGGTGGAGGGGCCGAGCTCGTGCAGAGCCAGCTGCTTCTCGATGTCCGCCACCGGGAGGGATTTGGGCAGGTCCTGCTTGTTGGCGATGACCAGCAGCGGCGTGCCCTGGTTCTCCGCGAACTTGGTGACTTTGTGCAGTTCCGTCTTGGCCTCCTCCAGCCGGTCCACGTCCACGGAGTCCACCACGTAGATGATCCCGTCGGTGCACCGGCTGTAGGACTTCCACAGGGGCCTCAGCTTCTCTTGGCCCCCCACGTCCCAGAAATGGCAGCTGATGCCCTTCGCGGTGCCGTTGCTCAGCTTGATCTTCTCGGTGTTGAACCCGATGGTGGGGACCGTGTTGACGAACTCGTTGAATTTGAGTCTGTAGAGGACCGTGGTCTTCCCCGCTGAGTCCAAGCCCAGCATGACGATGTGCAGAGACTGGAAGGCTGAGATGTTGGAGAAGCTGTTGCCCATTTCGGCGTTTGTGTTTTCTTTGCGCAGCTGCAGGAGTTTTTTTGTTCTATTATTTATCCAGGAGATAAAACGGCTGCGGTCATTGATTCCCGCGGGAGGGAAGCGGGGCGGGGGAGTAACCAGGGTGGTGCGCGGGGCCCGGTGCGCTCCGGATGACCGCTGTGGCCCTCAGCGGCGGCGGCGGGGGACGCGGTGCGCCTCGGCAGGACGCAGCGCGCCGCTCATTAGTATTCTCCTCGCGCACTCGCATCCATTCGGTGCCGCGGAGACGCTGCGCGGGTCAAACGGGCTCCTCCGGGACAGCGAGGGCGGCGTCGGCGCCGGGAAGGACACCGACGATCGCGAACCCTTTCCCCTGCCTCCAGCAGCAGCCTCTCCCCCCCCCCCTGCGTCCTCTGATTCAGTCCTCCGCAGGACCAAACACACACCCTCCGCGGATGGATTCACCTCTCGGGCTCGTTGGCTGCGCCCGGCTCCTGAGGTTGAATAACGGGGGGGGTGGGGGTGGGGGTCCAAACCGATTCGTTGGCCGGGTCGTGTCGGGCGCTGCTCTCCGGAGGACCTGCTGCAGCTGCTCTGAGTGGTGCGAGGCTGACAAAACAAGACCGCAAAACAAGAGGCGGCCCCGCTACGCTCCACCCCGCCCGGGACCTGTGCCAATGAGATCCGGATCCTGCGGACGCCCCAACACCGCGGACACGCGCTCCTCCTGCAGCCTCCGGCTTCACAACTGCACATGGTTGTGATGCATTGGTCTTTAACGCAATGTACGCAAACTGCGTCATAAATACAGTTTTTTTTTTAGTTTTAAGCGGATTCAAGTCGATCGTTTTCTAAATCGTCGGGACATTTAGTCCACACTTCGTCTGGTCTAAATGTCTGGTTTTATTTTGCCGACAAAATGAAATAAAGAGAACAAGTTATGAATCCAATAAAATGCAAAATAGTTATGCTTTTAGTTCTCCGTCCTAAATATAGGGAATCGTTTTAAAATGTGTTTCCTATGACCGTAAGGGATGAATCCAGAGCAACATCGCCCTCTTCCGGTTAAAAGATGCAACAACATGGAAGGATGAAGGATGCACAGGATTGACGTGAAGGACTTCTTCTGAAACTTGGGCCGTCGGTCAAAAAACACAACCAATAAATTAAATGATAAATATTTTACAGATGTTGAAAAAAAAACAGTTAATTCCAAACTATATAAACTCTTCTGAAATGGTAATTTTGCCAAACGATGGTTAACATAATATCCAAATTAAAAGCTCTTCCCACTAAACAGGAATAGAAATAATTCAGAATCAGTGACAACGATCGATGACTAAATCAAATAATTGGAAATACATGTCATCAATACATTTCATACGTCATATGTGCAACAACGTGTATCCAACCACTCAATCCAAATATGTATTGTATTCATAGTCCTGTCATTTCTATGCCTGATTTTTGTTGTTTTCTGTTTTTCTACTGGTCTCTTATTTCATTGCATGTGATCTCCGTATGTGCAGTACTACTTTCATCCACCAAGTGGCACCATGTGTTCATTTCTCACAGTCCACAGTCACACATTTCTCAATCTAAATAAATAAGAGAGGTCTCAGCATGTTCATAACACACACACACACACACACACACACAGTTCCAGGAAGTAGCCTGTTACAAACAGTCAACGTACATGTGCACACACGTCTCCAGTCTCTCCCATTACTCCTTCGTCATCATTCGAGTGAGGATCCCTGGAACTCTCCACAAACCTAATCTTCTCTGTAAATAAATGCACACACACACAACATATACATCTCTCACACACTTACACATGCACACACACACACACACACACACACACACATCTATTTACGGTGGACGTGAGAGCCCTCCTCTTCCCCGATGCCCGATTCTCTTCCAGGGATGTCATTACCCGAGCTGTGCCGCAGGATGAACATAAATAAACTGAAGTATCATTCAAGATCCCCCGTTCATTATGTTGCTATTGTTGAATATTGAGACCTTTAGAAGAGCACCAAGGAGCCACACACACACACACACACACACACACACGAGGTAAAAGCAAGTTAACCCTCACCTGTTCTGTGTCTCACGGGCCATGCAGCAAATGCCCACCTATGCGCTGAGGCTACATTTGGGTTTGATGTCTGTACTACCACGAGGAGGAACTACATCATGACCATAATACCGATTTGGGAAACACCCGTCTTTTGTTTTCTGGTAGTTTTATTTTGGATTGCTCATTAAGTTTTTATCTTTTGTTGGAATGGCAGCAAAGCTCACAAAGGGACCGAATGGGAAGCATTCAGACAGAAAAGGGGAGTTCTGGCTTGTAAAAACATTTGAAAAGACTAACTTAAAAAATGTGTTAAATCATCCAACAATGCATATTAATTGGTATATTATCCTAAAATTATAGTAATAACTGCTGCACATATCAGAATACACAACAGATGGTTAATATCAGAAAATAATTGTATATGGTTCATTATCAAACATCATCATGCTGATTTTGGCATGAGCATGCTATAGTATATAAGAGGTTCAATTGGTGCCACTCAATGAGATTTATTAAAATCAAAGAGGTTGTTTCTATCGTCAGGATGCGCTGACCTGCATGTGTGTAAGCAGATATTCAAAATCATGATTTATTCACATTATCGGGCCGGTTTCCCAGAAGCACCTTCACGGGGGGATTTCCAATCTGTTGATGGAGGTGGATTGCATCTGTGTGGGCATGTTCATCTGCTCGTTCCTCATCTGCAGCTCCACAAACGCTTGTGTGGATCCTATGGTCCCGTCTGCGCCTCGGTGTTGTCTGAAGATCCTCCGACGCGTGATGCTTTGCTTTGTAACAGACCTGCTATAACTGGTCACGTTACAACCGATTACCAGCGGGGGGGGACACACACTTTTTTAGAGGAATAATGTTGTTTTTATTCTCAAGGACGATGATGAGACAGAGTTGGTGTCAGAACTGTCGGGTCTGTCTGGGCCGTTTGCTAATGAGGACCCTGAAGTCTGAACTGATATCACATCCACACTTCCAACTTGTTTGTGGATGTTTTTTTCTCTCTGTGATTCTGACAGGAAGGCCGTAGAAAATTGGACTGCAGCAGCCATGAAAGATGGGTGATGCAACCGAGGTCCCTGCCCGTGAAATCCTGTCAAATGGCTGGAGGGCTTTTCAGGGCTGAGCTCGCACTTCAATCAGGAAGTCACGTCTCTCTTAAAACCCTGCCAAGGAAAAATAACAGGAGACATTATGGTCCCCTCGACTAACCTTGGACACTCGGGGGAGGGGAGGCTTTACAAGCAAAGACACAAGTCAAACACACGGTGGACGCTTGTCTTTGTCCCTTTGAAAAGATGTGTGTGTGTGTGTCAACGAAATAGACAAAGCACATGTTTGCCTGCTGATGGATACAGGAGGCGTCCGATGCAGCAGGCCGATTGCTGCGCCTGAGCTCCGTCCCACTGGATCCTCCGGGCCGGCCCCTCACAGATGAAAGCGTCGCCCTGCGTGTCACGCCGAGGTTTAATGGAAGCAGAGGAGGTCCTGTTCACTCCCCTGCACAAAGCATCCGTGCGAGAGGCCCTTTGGAGGGAGCGAGAGTGGCTGTATCAAAGGGATGGAAAGATAGCCGGAATTCTACTTTCACGCTGCGCATCTCGACTCAAGTGCTTTCGACAGAAGGTGGGGTGTTGTTTTCCAGTGTGTGTGTGTGTGTGTGTGTTTCGCGATGAAATGGGTTACGGAGGTTTGACGTGGTATCATATGAGCTGAAAGAGGTCTCGTGGGGTCAAAACCCGCCCAGCGCCTCACTGATGCAGGAGCGTCCCCGTGATCTTTTGCAGACGCGGAGCGGCGCAGCAGCGAGCTCCATTCATTAACACTCTCCGTCGGACGCAAACGAGAAACTCTGATTGGAAAATGAAGAGCTGCAGGTCACAGCGAGGCTGCGGGAGCAATCTGTGCACTCGGTCAAATGGTGATTGGATGTTTTTTATTAGGGTTAAGCAAGTGTGTCAAATCTCACCGGATGAAAAGTTTAATCCAACACCTCAAAAACAAGACAAGTTAAAGGAAGATGTAAGATTAGCTTCGTCCAAAGGTGCTCTATGCTCCTCAACACAAAGTGGTGGATTAATGCAGGTTGGTGAGATATTTCACGCTCCTCCAGCCAGTCTGTCCCAGCTGGAACATCTCCGCCCGCAGACCACGCCGCTCTGACATCTCCAGAGTCACGGACGTGTTGATCCTGAAAGAAGAGGAAAGCAAACTGTCTCGTTGTTGTTTTCCTGCAGTTGAGGTGACGCACATGAAACAATCATTATATCTGTGGTTTGTTTGACGCTCGCTGTCTTCGCGTCTTTTTCGTCCTCCCTCGCTGTCTCTCTCTCTCTCGCAAACACTCAAAGGTTGCCATGGAGATTTGCATACTGTGCTACCGAGGTTGCCATGGCGGCGTGTTTTTTTTTTCTTTTGCACTCGGAAGCAAGCAGTGTTTTGTTGGCGCGGCGGTTGCTCCGCCTGCTCCAGCAGCAGCTCAAACATATAAAACTGTTGTGTGTTTTGTGCCTGTTGTGCGAGATGTTTACCGACTCGTGAGATGGATCATTACGGGTGAGACGGAGGAGGACAGAAAGCGAACGAGGGGTTGTGCTCCAGAGATGATCGGTTATCTGCTGATTGAACAACAACATCCAAAGTGGATGTGAGTGCAGAGAACAACGTTGACGGGAGAGAAGCGGCAAAGTGCTGAGTTAGAGCTGGAAATAGAAAGGGGGGGGTTACCACTTTTATACTATTCAGTCGTGCTGTTCACTCTCCACCTAGAAGCTGGCAAGCATTCTAAATGGAAAGAGGGAGGTTTTCCCTCTTTCCATTTTCAATGTGTCGGTGTGCAAAAAAAGGGTCCGAGGAGAAACATCAACAGATGGATCGTCCCATGAAATTTAGCATCCTGCAAGAAACTGTTCTCGGATTCTGTAGTATCTCATTATGTTGGTTATTTGAACACAGAGTCCAGCTGCTATTCGTACTGCAGGAAAATATGATACTATAAATAGAGATCGAGGGAGTAATGTTCACATAAGAAACATGAGAAATGAGGGTTGATGGCGAAACGTTCTGTTGCTCTCTGCTGATGAAAAGGTGCTTATCTCTGGCCGACCCATCCTCCTTCAAACCAAGTAGCTTTCAAACGGACGAGGTTTCCTAGGAGACAAAGGGAAAGAACGTCACCCACGGCCTGCTGCTGGAGAGAGGGGGAGAGAGGGGGAGAGAGAGGGAGGGAGGGATGGGCGGGGCTCACCCGTTGGACTCCGGTCGCCGGGGAAAATCGACGCGTCCCGTCCATCACGCCGGCGCTCTGAAGGCCCGAAGAAAGGTTTCAACTTCTTTTCAGTTTTACCTTCAAAGTCAACAAAAGTTAAAAGCCCCTTGTCTTAGTTACTCAGCAGATACTCAACTCTCTGCATTTCGTGCAGCACCGGGAGGCACTTCTGTGAACACAATACCACCAACGCAATTTAACATTCTGAAAGCGTGAATCCGGGTAGAAGGATTCGATATAATACATGCTGGCTGCATTAATTGAAGCGGCCGTAATTATAACTCCTGTCCGTAGGGAGCAAAGGTGGAAGTAATTCGTTTTTTTTATTTTTATTGAACCACCCATGACGAAGAGGTCTGTTTCGATCTTTAGCCTCATTTCACATGAGACCTTCATTCCGTTAAATGTTCTTTGGTTGACGAGGTGGTCGCAGCATCGAAGAGACTGTTCAAGCCATAATAGAAGTTATGTCGTTTCATTGGGGAAATGTTGCACGGGGATGTGCGAGCTTCAAATCAAAAAGCATGAGCAGCCAGGAAGGTACTCAGACGACCTCTCCAGCATTTCATTTCCTTTAATTCACGGTTCCTCGGCCAACAGCACGCTTCTATACCACGAGATTCAGACACTGGTTTTATTTTAATAATCCAAATAAGATAAATAAAAAGCTTCCTGGTGGGGGCAACAAAGCGTCGCTGACGGACTGAGGAGCAGGCGTGTGTGGAGGGGTAACAGGTGAGCATGTGGGTGGGGGGGGTCAGGTGGGGGTCAGGTGACCGGCAGGGGGAGGGGCTTTAGATTGAGGCGATAGGAGAGGTCAGAAGGGCTCTGTCGGACATGTACAGAGATATTTATAGCATCACCTGCACCACCTTTATTTCATGTAAACACGGAGCTGCCGACGGCCTCCACCTCCATCCGGTTTGTATGGGCTCCTTATCGGGCCACGGACCCTCATACTCCTGCACACAGACACACAAAGGGTTAAGGGAGTGGACTGTGGCGCCCCCCCCTACACACACACACACACACGGAGGAGGGTTTGTTTTGGGGAGGAGGGGGCTGACGGGGCTGACGGTGCTGAGCACACAGAGGGAGTCGGCCTCCCTGCCAGGTTTCGATCTCGCTCACCTTTCTCATCGGAGGGCCGTGGGGTTCTGAGAACAAACACACTTCTGTTCTCGCCGCCCGTCAGCACGCAGGGAAACGTCCGCTTTCATTCCCCTGTTGTTGATTCGTGTGCACGTCCATCGAATTTGCCCAGAAAGGAAAAGGATTTTTTTTGCAGCTTGATTACAGGCTTCCAATCAGAGCACCAGAGGATTTGTTTTCTCCTTGTGTGGTCAGCACACATTACATCTATCTGCCTTCTGCACGTCACGTTTTCTTTCTGAGCGTGCTGGTGAGGATGAACAGCGCGGCGGCGTTAAACACGGGGTTCCCAGAGGGAGCATGGAGACGAATGACCTGGGGGGATTACGTTTACCTAGAAGAGTTAAGCATCAGAGATGGAACATGGGAGGAGTGGAGCACAAAGTTATTAGGAAGACAAAAACGAGTCAATGGATTATTTGAAAATGACCTCACCATGTGAAGAAAGAACCTGAAAGTGGAGGAAAAGGTGTGAAACAAATTGCAGATGATATTTTTGGTGTAAATGTGATGTAAAACCGCAGGAATCTGAGCTAAAAGACGCTGAAATGTGCAGAGCTGCAGAATGAACTGCGCCGTCTCACTCTGATTGTCATTAAATTGACTCATTTATTTTGTTCTCAGCTGTAGATTTGATAAAATGACCGGTGGGCCTCTGCTACATGACGTGGTTGTTCTTACTTGGCCTCCACACCGCCGCGGTTCCAAACAGCAAAAACAAATCTTATCAACATTTGGTTGATTGCCAAAAACCTACTCAACTCAGCCCCAAAAGACAACGAAAAAGAGGCCGCTGGTTGAAAAGACCCTATTGTTAGAGATGGCTCTCTGGGGCTGAAAGGTTCATCTGGAGGTTGACCTTTCCTCGGAGCCGCTGATGGCTGCCTCGGTGGAATGACGGCGCAACGACAAAAAAAAAAAACGACTTCAATTACAGCGAGCTCCCCGTCAGCTGGCAACCGCGTGGAGGCTTTCGCCAGCCTCAGATGTGGTTAAACTGACATTTGCCCTCCGCTGTTGACAGGAGGAGCCGTCGCTCTCTCATGGAAATAAAGAAAACACGGCCTCACATCCTTCACTGCTTTGTTTTCCTTCAACCCGGGAAGAAAATTGCAGAGAAGTTCAGATAAAATGCCAATACGGCGACACTGAAATGTCAAGTCTGCTAATTATCAATTCGCTTTGACTAAGCTTTTGTTGTATTATAAAACGGGTTTAGTGACATTTCATGCAGCCTGCGTTGAATACTTTCATGTACAACACGTGGCTAAAAGTTTGTGAACACTCACCTTTTGTGTAAATTTGATCTGGACTGTTTTTTTTCTTAATGTTGCACAATGCAGTGATATTTTAGACACGTTGTCGTCAGTTTGTGTTTGTCCCTTCTGGTTCCTGCAGGACGACCAGTGCACAAAGCTCTTTAAATAATTGTTTTCCCAAGTTTAATGCTCAAATTTGTGCAGTATCCTCATTTTATAGCTTTCCTGTAACATTGTATACATACTGTGTTGTATATTATTAGGGTAATATATATATAAGGGACCTTGGTATATTTTTGATGGTAAACAAACATTACGTTCTCGTTTCAAACTGAATTTAGATCACAGTTCACTTTCACTTTGAACATCAGCAAACCAACCGTATCAATCGGGCCCCAAACCGAAGTCTTGAATCTACCTTGAAGCTGCTTGGAACCTTAAATACAGAACTCACAAATAAAAGAGCAAAACCTGTATTCATTCCCTCTGACAATGTAAGAATAAAGATAAACCTCATGGGTTTCTGGCTTGATGAAGAAGATTCATTTCTGAGGAAATTTGATTTCCTGCTCCGAGCTTGCTCACCGAAAAGGGGCCCGATTTAGACACAAACTGAAATCTCTCATCGAGAGTTTCCCCTTTAAACAGATTTTGTAAACCAATTCAGGACAAAGAAAGGGCGATTATCAACTCCCCATTTTCTATTCTGACTTCAGAGGGAAACCTGTGTGTGAGGATTAGACAATAATCCACCAATTCATGATTCAGCGCAATTTGCAAGTAGAATGTTTTAAATATTAAGCTAAATCCTTAAGCCAAAGGAGCAGAGGGATCAATCACGTCCGACGTGACAATGAAGAGTCAACGTACGGAACTCGGCCCTTTGTGAAGCTGAGCGCCGAGCCGCCGCCGCGGGAGCCCCGGCGCCCCGGGGGGCCTCATTACCGGCGCTCCTGGCTGGGACTCCAAGCATGTCGGCCCAACCTCCGCCGTGTTTAATTCCACTCCTTCTGGTTCCTTTTCTCTCTCCTCCATTAATCTGTGTATTTAATTAAAGTCTGCTTGCTTTGAGGGCGCAGGGAGCGGGAGGCAGAGGGAAGGGACGGGGAGGAATCGCGCCCTCTCAGTCACAGACGGCTTTATGAGAGATGTTTTAATTGTCTGAGTGAAGGAAACACGTCCTCCCGTGTCCCCACCGACTGGGACACTGGATCTGTCACCGTGGTTACACGATCAATGAACAGATGTCTTCTTCCTCTCATTAGGACACTAATCGCACCGATGCAACCAAAAGACTTCAGCCCGCGCGCTGGGCGAGGTCATGTGACCTGAACATCGGCCCTTTCACCCAGGAGAACGCTGTTAGTTCCCTGTGTGAAAACAGACACCGCCGTTTATTTGTTTGTCACTTAAATATGCCACAATGCACAGAAATAGTTTAGAAAAGCCTTTAGAAAACCTCCTCTTAGTGCGGACCAGCAGGGCACGACAGCCAAAAGTGCATCTTTTTTATTTTTCAAAGAACCAAAAGAGAGCTGATAAGTGCTGCAAGAAGATCAGACTTCTGTGATGCAGAAGCCTCTTTTTCTACCCTCCAGTGCTTCTGCTGTGACCCGACTCTTTGTATCCCACTTTCTTGCGTCCTGCTTCCGTTTACCCTCCGACGGTGTGTCGTGTGTGGGCTGTTTTCCACAAACACAACGCTGATAACACACAAAACATGGCAGCCTGTTGCAGATAAGGAAGCTCCCTGACAGTGATGTTCAGTTGGCTGTGTGTGTGTGTGTGGGGGGGGGGGGGGGGGGAAATCGGCAATATTTGGGGAGGTTCCTTAGCAACCAGCGGATAATGCGGATAACAGATATCCGGGGCAGAGACTTCCTCTTCTTCTGTCTAATTAGCACCACGAGAGACGACTGCGGCTGTGCTGCACCTGCATGCGTCTCATAAAGAGATCAATAAAAGAGGCAATACTGATGCAACACCAACCCAAATATCCTCCCTTTGTTGCTTGATTCTCAATCTCGTTTAAAGGAAGCACAATCGAACAAATGTCGTGTCCAAATATTTACATTTTTATTTAGTATGTTCCACAAAAGTATGCAGTCACAAAAAGGTTTTCACACCCACCACATTGCACAGTATGCAGCACTGAGACGGAACCTAATCAGCATTGACAGACAGTGTCATCACAAGAGTGGTCCGAACATTGTACAAGGTCATCTGTGTGGAGCTGTATTGATTTTTGGCAAGCTTTGGTAACAATCACTTCCATGGGACAAAAGCAATAGAGACAAGAGACAGCGAGTTGAGGGATTAGTGGCTACGGTTTGATCGGTGGAAGATAAGGCTGATTTATTTTGATCCAAAAATGATAATTAAAAGTTAATTTGTCAATCGCGAAAAAAAAACTAATTTACTCGTTTACTCTCTGACTTGCTCTGGAGCGTTTAGCCTCCGACGTCCCACCCAGCAAACTGCTGATGAAGACCATGAGACGAGGTCAAAAGCACCCGAAGAAGTGAGTGAGTGGACTCTGAGTTCACAGGAGAAAAAATGAATACAGTTTATAAGAAAAACATTAATTGTCAGACACTGGTTTTGTAAGACCAGCAGTTAATTATCAAATTAACAGCAAATCCTCACATCGGAAAAACAGGGAGAATGTTTTCAGTTCTGTTAACTATTAAATTCATTGACATGATTTTTTTCTACTATTCAAGAGCTTGATTCAAACTTGTGAAAGATTAATAAAATATTCAGTGTTTTCAGCGTCGGGTCAAAGACGGACAACCGAATATTTGTATCTCTGAAAGGAGCCGGACGGCGTTGAGAGAGAGAGGGAACCTGAAGTAGAGGAGAAAAGAGTGACAATAAATAGAACGGATTTGACACGTGACGAGGCTACGGTAATAAGGATACGATATCTAAAAGTGTCTCCTCTTGAAAAAGTGACTTTCTGGGCGTTGGATCCACAGTTCTTAACCAAAGGCTTCATAGTACAAAAATACATAACTATGCAACACGGGAACTATTAAAAGAGTCTCTGTTAATACTGCGAGCTGCGCACAGCTCCGTGTTGTTTGGCCCGCCAGCGGAGACGGAGGGCGCTCTGAGGGGGGAGGAGCTAAAGGCGGCGCCGCGGGAACAAAACAACACACGGCGGCGGCGACGTTCAGCGTGAGCGGCACAGCTGACGTGCAGCAACTCTGCTCCGGGAGACGGCGAGGGGAGGCGGGGCCTCAGATGGCGTAGTCGTCGTCCTGAGCGGCGGGGCTGAAGGCGGAGCTCCGCAGGGCGTCCAGGCAGTTGACGAGGATGAGCGTGCCGGTCAGGTGCTTCCAGCGCCTGGTGATGGGGTTCTTCATCTTGTCCAGGCCCATGTGCAGCTCCTGGATCACGTCCCTGTAGCTGTCGCCGATCTGCGCGGCCCACGTGACCAGGAAGTCGTACGCCGGCTTCCACATGGCCTGCGGACACAGAGGGGACAAGCGTCCCGCAATCAGCTGTCTGAGCGGCCCGATGTCACGTGGGTCAAAACGGTTTGAAAAAGAATAAACGGGACGCACCTCGCTGTCCACCACCCCGTTCTTGTCGCGATGCGGCGCCTCGTAAGCGTCCATCTGCTGGCGTGACACCTTGACGAGCCTCTCGGCGAGCTCCCGCCAGCGTCCCGCCACCTCCACGGCCGTGGTCAGCAGGACAAAGTCCATGACCAGCCGGGCCACGAGGCCCTGGCAGTCCATCTTCAACAAAGCCTGCGGTGGAGGGACGCAAGAGGACTTTAGACCGAATAAATGACGCACAGAGGAGCCAGAAATGCTGGAGTTGGAATCCGGAGGAATGTGAACGTGTGAATAGAGAAACGAGATGTGAGCTCTGAGGGGGAATCAGTGGGGTCAGACGGAGGACGGCGTGGACTCGACTGAGCAGAACCTTCACCAGAACCAACCGCCGCAATAAACACTAACGAATGTACATCTGCAGGTTTGCTTCCCCTGAGTTGATCCTCGGTGATTTCGCACAGCGTGCCTCCGCAATCCCCCTGCAAATCTCAGCTTTGTGCATTTTTGCAATGCTTTCTGGTGGAAATAGAAATAAGAGCCTCGCGTTGCTTCCCGTGACGACACTTTACGGATTTATGTCACATCTAAACCGAGGGGAGGGAGGGAGAAAAAAGGCCTGTAGACCAACGGCGACACGCAAAACGACACGCAACCGCACGCAGGATTAACGTCTTAAGCTTTCTCCAGCATCTCCTCACAGCAACGTGCTGGGGATTTTAGCCGTTGTTCGTCCCGAGGTGCGGCGTTCAGGAGACGCCGGCGGGTCGGCAATCGCCACTGATCGTCTCGCTTCTCCTGCTCTGCACTAAAGTTCCGACAGCTCTGCCGGGGGGCCCGAGCTGAGCGCGAGGCGCCGACGGGGCCCTCCGTCGTCCGGCCCCTCGCTGGGCTGGCGTCAGCGGGAGCGGCCGGCGGCGCGTCACTGCGGATTTGCCCAAACACAAATGTGATGAATGCAAATACACGATGTTTAACACACGCGTGTATTCGCCACTTACACACACGCACTATAATGTATGTGTACACAACTAAAATGTATCTCATTGGCCTTAAAAGTATTTGAAGTAACAGTCATGATTATAAGTCTAAGAAGAAACTAAAAATGGAAATGTGACCTGCAAGAAAGAAGAGATTTCATTGGACCAGGTACACTTTCTAAAAGACAGCGGCTATTTAAGTCAAATATCACCGCTTTTTGTAATGTCCACAACCCTCCAAATGTGCCCATTATTGAGGTTTTTGAATGCACTGGTCCTCAGACTGTACACACACACACACACACACACACACACACACTCCTGGCCCACTGGGACGCCGCCTTTGACTTGCAGACTCAACAGAGCGAAGGTGAATTTAAAGCTCCAGTTTGGGCTTCAGCTCCGGCTGCAGGAATGTGTGGAACGACAGGATATGGGGGTGGGGGGGGGCAGGGGGGACGGGGGGTGAGGAATGCAGATGCCCTGCTCCAGCAGCCTCTCTCCCGCTGGTACGAGACCAGGAGTGAAGGAGTCCGTGAGACCACCAGTCCACTGTTCTTCAAAGACCCCTCGGCCGCCCAAAATCAAACTACTCAAATGAAGTCGAGTGAGACGTTTGTTGAGTGACCGAGCACGTTTGTTTCTATTCTCGGCCTGATGTTGTCGGGGGGGGATAAACAAACCCTCTGATGAGCACCTGTTTCCTGGTTGGATGTCCTATTTCCTCCTGACGCCTACAAACCAGTAGAAAGTCCCACGTAATGCAGTTCGGACGTTGTGTGAAGGTGCACTTTGCTCTCTCGTCTCTGGCTGGAAGCATTCAGGCTGCAGTAAATCTTCGATGGCGTCTCGTTAAGTATTTATCACTGAGCGTCGTCGATTTTTGGACTAATAATTGCGCCGCATCGGACGGCGCCGAGTGCAGCGGTTTAAAGAGCCTCTTCACGCCGACACAACACGCCGAGACAGCGGAGGAGTTAAATGCAGAACGGGCACTTTTTATTAAATGTCGACCGGTCCATGCGGACAAGTAATGGGTCACGCGTGTGTGTGTGTGTGTGTGTGTGTGTGAGTTTGTTTCACATGCACACCAATCATCCCCCCCGCTCCCTCCCCACCCGCCAATTCCTCCCCACCCGCCACTGCATAAATTATATACTTGTCAAAGCGAGAAGAAAATTCCTGCAGACATATTTTCAGAGATAACGTTGATGGTGGAAACCAAGCAGGCGCCTCAATCATGTCAGCCCCTGCACACACACACACACACACACACAAACACACACACACACACACACAAACACACACACACACACACAGTCCCGCCCTGCTTTCACATCCAAAGAAAACAGCGGGACTGAACCCTCGGTACAGGCAGCCTTCAGCTTTCTGATAAATGATTTGTTTCTCCTGTTGTCCTCTTTCGGGTTTTCCTCTCTGCTACAAAACTGACACTCAATCGCTCCGCTTCAATCTCACCTCCATTATTTTTCTATCCCATCTTCATTTTCCATTTGACTTCCCCCACGTTTCCCATTTACAGCCTCCAGACTCCATCTTAGCCGCACTGTGGCTTTGCAATTTCATTCCTTTTTGCCATTTCCAACCTGCGTTCAGGCCTTTTTTTTTTTTAACCTTTTCTCTGCAAACAACCTTCAGCCTGCGAGCTGAAACCTTGGGGGCTGAGGTCAGGCACTGCGGGTGCTGCTTTGGGCGTCCCATGAACTCCCGTCACTGGTGGTGAACTGTCTCCACGAGGGAGAGCGGCCTGTTGTTCACTTAGTGACCTTCGTTAGCAGGAGGAGGAGCAGGAGGAGGCACGGAGGAAGGAGGCTGGAGATGGTAGGGGGGGGGGGTGAAAAAAGAAACTCAAATCCACATTTGTGTACGAGCCCGAGAGCCAATCACACGCAGTGCGCCTGGTTGCTGCTCCATTTCCCCTCCTCCGGGGGGAGAAGATGTTATTATTATTTCTAACCTGCCACACTGATCGCACAGCGAACAACTCAGGAGGGTCTGCCGCTCGGCTGCAGAGCTTTGAAATGAAAATCCTCTTTTAGCACCGAGACACAACAGAGGTCCCACCTCCGTGGTCCCGCGCCGCAGCTTCTTATTAAACCGGCGTGTTGGCAACAAGAGGAGGAGGAGGAGGGAACCTCTCCTTTCTCACTAACAGAATCGGTCAGTCGCTGCATCACTCGGATGATTCGCCCTGGAACGAGGTTCAGACATTAATTCCGCCTCATCAAATAGCTGTCGGGAAATTTCCCGCCAAACCACAGACGTCATGGCTCTGGTGGCGCTGGGGGGGGGGGAAAAGTCTTTCCTCGCCAAAACGGAGTCGGTCGGTCCCAGCGGGAGAGCACGGAGAGTTATGGGGTGGAGGAAAAATGTTTTGCATGTTACATTTTTGGGTAAATCCCTGAAGATATCGGTTTCAGCTCGGGACAGAAGGAGGGAGCGAGTGCCCACTCATTTCACGAGGCTTCGTCTGGTCGCATTCAGCTCTTGTTTAAACGATGAGAGATGAGGGAAACCCTGAGGAGCAGCAGCACCACGTGTCTCCTCCCTGAGCTCTGACCTCTGACCCCCCCCCCCCCCGAACGCTCCTCGTTCTCTCTGAAACGTCTGGAATCTAGAGGTTTCGTCACCATCTTGTTTCTGAATGGTTTCAATCTTTATTCAAACCTGACGGACCGATGGTGTTTTTTTTATTTTTTATCATGAGCTCTAAAGTAGATGTGTTCTGACTTGTGAGCATCAGTTGCTTAATTTCACGTTCAGGAATGTTGTTTGTGTCCCACATTCACTCCCTTTTGCTGTTTTTGTTTCAACAAGCGCCTGGAGGACACGTCTGTGTCTCTCGCAGCTAAATGCTCCACTTTGTTAGACTGCGTCTGTCTGCTGCTCGCTGCCGTTTTTCTTTTGAGAGCTTCTTCCCTGAAGTGATGCTTTTTATGCAGCACATTTAAAAACAATTACCCACGTCGACTCGAGTGCTTTAGAGCCCAGAGAGGGAATCAGAACCACGAGTTGAGACACCGTAACGCTCCCCGGGGAGGAGATCATTTTTCTCATATGAGTCTGACAGCTTTCACATTACAAAGAGTCATGTGATCCGTTTGAAATATTTCATACAGCCGGAGTCATTATTGTGGCACGATGAATTAGGCGTCTCTTCATCGAAGGGGTCCCGACCGAGAGCGGCAGCCAAAATTCCACCACGTAGGACGACTCACGTGCCCAATCGAGCGCGACTGCCTCACTGAAGCGACGTATTGGATTTCTAAAACAATAATGTGGAAGATTTCCTCCATAAAACAACCCAAATCCATAGAAATAACTCAAAGCCATCGCAATCGATAACTAAATGATGCATCTGCTGAGACACAAGTTAAGGTCTTCGTGAGCGGCCGATCCATCTCGTCCCGTCGGCTGGAGACCCACGGATGTGGAATCTGGTGCAGTTCAGACATGTTTTCAATATGAATGACCCCTGAGTAAAGAAAGACACAGCACTTTGTATCTGTGTCCGTGTGACGCCCACAAAAGTGAGATTCTGCGTCCTTATCATTTTAATATATTCAAAACTCGTCACTTTTCACTGTCGCTGTGTGTTTTCTTTACGTTGCTGTTTGCTTAACATGAAACGGACATTACAATCCCAGTCTGTACACATACCGTATGTTGCGTGCACCACCCATATCCGCTCCTGTGTGTGCGGCCTGGAGGAGCGGCGGTTTCTGCAGCGCTCATTTGAATTCACAAAGCATCAGAATGTGCGACGCAGAACAATCTGAACAAACAGCGTTCTGTGTTCAGCTGTATCAAGGTGGACACACACGCGTCAGTGCAATGCACCTTGATTATTATTAGCACATGATGGATATTAATCAGTCCAATAGATTGTGTGGGACATTTTGGACAGAACTCCTCAGAGAGCTGTCAGCGAGACGGTAAACTGAGCCCAGGGGGTCTGGGGTCAAGGAGGATTACGGGAAGTCGTACTGACTGCAGGCGCCTGCCGGTCCACCGCCAGAGCTTCTGTTTAGCTTCACAACAATGAGGCCGGAAACATCTGCTGGCCCGAGATCCAGAAGACGCAACCCGGGATCCCTTCCATCCAACACCGACGACAACAACAACAACAACAACACGACACGAGCCGCTGTGGAGATTTAAAGAAAAGGGAGATAAATAAAGAAACTAATGTTGTGCATGTACTGTGGTGCAGCGCTAAATAATTAAACACACTGAAAAAAGCATCTAAAATAAGAGGACCTCTGAAAGCAGAACCACGCGGAGGTATAAAAGCGTCATCATGCAGTTGGCCCAGAGACACGCGAAGATGAATTCCCACTCTCGACCTCGGGCTCGTTGCCGCTCGTATCCCGTCGCTGGGTGTTAATCCTGTGAACTAGTAATTATCATTAGCAAACATGCTTTGTGAGCGCCTGAAGCTAACGGCACTAAAGCTGCAGGACCCCACAGTTCACCATGTCTCTGCCTTATCGGACACATCTTTTGCTACGTTCAACAAGCTCAACTCCAAACGAATGAGCGGCCCAACACAGAACTAATGCAAATGAAAAGTCCTTACAACGGATGTGTGTGGGTCCCTTTCTCTACCGAGCATCAAAGCAGAGCACGGGGGGGGGGATTCAGACAGTCTGGCACAAAGAACGGGGCCGCGGCGCTTCTCATTCGGCTTTCTTCCTTCTATAAATAAGACTTCCGTCCACGTCAAATGACACGCAGGCGGTGGGAGATTTTCTTCTGCGACTTGGACAATTTCGCAAGAGGAGAAGGGACGAGGATTTCATCTGACAGCCTCCGGGGATTTACTCTGAGGCCCCCACATGCAACAGAATCCTCTCTTCAGGGGACAAAAAAAGTCAGATGTCTGCGCATGGAACAAACCGTTAAACAGAGAGTCAAATTTGCTGGATCGCTGCGTGCTTTGTCCCAACAGTGAGCAGTATTTTAGGTGTAATCCTGACAGAATAAACAGAAAAACAGACCTATATTCAGAGACAAATTGCACAGAACTCCGTCGAAGGCCATGTTTTCAGTCGCCACCTTTTATTATGTTCTCCTCAATGCTGCAGTTTCTCCGTCTATAAATGGTTCTAACTAGCGTTTACAACCTCGTGTAAATTACAGAGTATCTGCTCTGTGTTACCTCAGCTGTAGTACATCCGTGACCTCTGACAGAGACTCCCAGCAGGACCGAATGCTGGTGGAGAAACTACGTCCACGATCACTGGTATGAAGGCAGCCGGGGGGAGACTGAACTCCGCTCAACCGAAACGTAGCAGTATTTCAACCAGGAACAGACACATTAAACAGAAAAATACCAAGAATGCAGGTTTATGTAACATTAGGCCATTGGTACGAATCAGACTGGATGTGATGGGGCTGTTTGGTGCGTTGAAAGACATCTCGGCATGAAAATCGCTACCTGCACCGCCCGAGGCGACGCTGAAATGCACATTTCCGTGACAGTGGACGCACAACAAAGTGCCAGAGAGAGTTGTTTTGTACACTTGCAGCTAACACAGCTCAGCACTTTGCCCGCTTTGAAGAAAAGCTGAAAAAACTGAAGAAAAAAAAAAGTGAACAGGCCTCTTCGTGAGCTGCAGACACATCGGTTCTCTTGCCAGAAAGTGAAATGTCTGACTTAGCTTAAAAATAACCATCTGATGTTCTAATTAAACCTCGCGACGCACGGATGCCGATATCGAGCCGATTCTCAATTAAATTAAATTTACTTCTGTGTTTACATACAATATTTACAAAGAATGAGAGTTTAGTTACTGTGTAACTTTTGTCCAAATGGTTGCTGCATTCAAAAAAAAATCCAGGTTGCTTTTGTGGATTCAGAATTTAAGTTACTATAATAAAAATGTCATGAATGTTAATCCATGTATTCATTTGTTACATGCTGGTATAAATAAAGAGAGGCAATGTTTGAAAAATGTTTCCAGCCACCCCGGCACTGAAGCATAAGCCATATCAGTGGTGTGACATCTGTGAAACCCAAAGCCCGGGGGGTCAGTACCAGGGAGGAAAAGGTTTGAGCTCGTTAAAGCAGAACACTTTGTGGAAAAACATACTCAATCACTCCAAGGAGAAGGGTTGTACTGTGAATTTACTGTCAATCTATGAACTCTGGTTGCGTTTTAAAGATACCGAGGTACCAACGATATTGGTACTCAAAGTGGTGCAGTGCTCCCATGTCTAAAATGATTTTAGCTTTAAACACAAGAGTACAGGTCTGTTTCTTTAACTTCAACCCAAGCCCGATGGTTATGATTAATATGTACATAAAAATATAAAATTAAAGAAGCCTGAGCGATCACTCCGATGGTTTTTGATCAGCGTACTGTACACGCACAGTCGCAAGTTGAAGATACAAGGCATTCTTTTGCAAACCACAGCTCCTCAGGTCCCGATTAGACGTCCATGCCTACACAGCAGTTATCGACTGCACTCCCAGCGGAATCAACGGCCTGGACCAAAGCCCAGAGCCCAGAGCCTAAAAAGCCCAGAGCCTAAAGCAGCTGTGGGCAGATAACAGGAGAGAGGAAGAATTGTTCTCTGAGAGAGAAATGTCCTCCCAGGAGGACGCAGACACAAACACATTTCATTTGACGCATGAGACACAAAAGACTCAACAGAGATTTTAAAGGGTGAAGGAGAATTTGCGTTCATTCAGAGAAAAATGCTTAGTCACCGCAGCAGAGGAGCATGCCGAGGTGGTGACTTACCGTCAGGAGTTCTTTCTGGAAGGACTTTCGCTCCTTGCTCTCTGTGTTGTTGCAGTCCTCCTTCAGCCTCTCCAGCACGGACGCGACCCTCTCGGGTTCGCTGTCCAGCTCTGCGCGGCAGAAATGGGTCAACGGCAGGTTGCCGTATCCCAGAGAGTCGGCGAACGCCCGCCAGTTGCCGATGTTCTCCATCAGTATAGTTCTTACGGAGGCGTAGATGTACGTGAGGAATTTGCAGGGCTTCAGTATCTGCTCCAGTAGCAAGGAAGTCGAAAGGTCGGGCCCGCTGAAGTAAATGGGCTTAACTTTGCCGACCACCAACACATTCTTTGCGTGAACAAATCCCATCTTGCCCTGGTAATATCCAATGTACCACTCTTTTGTCCACAGCTGACCCTTCAGCCTGATCCTCTCCTCGCTCAACAGGGCTACAAAGTCTCCCTTTTTGTACTCCAGCAAGTACTGATTTTTCGTCTGTCGAATGACAGTTTTGATTAATTTTCCAAACTTCAGGTTATTTATTCTCTGGTCCTGAAAAACAGGGTACTTGGTGGCAATGGCGAGAGGAGACAAGACTATCTTGCCCACTTCCTTCTTCTTCAGGAAGCGCCTTTGCACCGATGTCTTTGGGCCTGCTTTTGGGGGCGGGGGCGGCGTTTGGACACAAAACTGAGCCAGGATACAATCTTGATCGTCTTTGACCTGGATCCTTAATGTGAAATCAGAAACATCATCCGTGTTGCGCGATGCAATGATGTAGACAATCCTGCTGACTTTGCCGAGTTTAACCTGGAAGCCCCGGACCACTCTGGCCTGTTCGCTAACCTTCACCTCGTAGTTGGCCATGTTGGAGTAGACTCCAACGCGGAGGTCCTGGGGTTTGGACAGGACGAACTGGTGTTTACCCCAGAGCTGCAGCAGTACTGATGGAGCAGACTGCGCCTGTTTGCCTACCTCACTCACCAACAACGTCTTTGGGGCACAGTCGTGGCCAAACATAGCTACGACTGTCTTGAAGGACGGGTGAATGTGTTTAGGACCGTATACCCCTAAAGTGATCTTTTTAACCACGTGCTCCCAAACTGTGGAGTCTGGAGATAGGGACCGGGACTGAGCCACGACACACACGTACATGCATGGTTCCAGGTTGTCCAAACACACCTGGACTGTGTCCCCATACATGTACGCCTGAGGAATGGGGGTGTAAGGTCCCTCTTTACAATCACTCCTGACACACAAGACTTCTGTCGTCTCCCTGCTCTCCATTTTCACCACGACAGACACTTTCATGTCCAGGGTGACGTTGGTTTTGGTCTCCATGTTGCTGAGTTTGATCTCCACCACAGGGCTGACGGTGGTGCAGCGGTCGTTGTTCAGCTCCAGCGGGGGGTCGAGCAGAGCTTTGATCGAGATCTGCTGGGTGTCCCCTGGGGCCACGTGGCCTTCGGGTACGTGTACGCTGATGTTGGAGTCCGGGAGCTGGACGGCCCCTCCTGAGCTGTCCAGCCGACAGACGATGTTGGTCTCCACCGGCTGCGTTTGACCCCACCCTGGGTTCTGACCCAGCGAGTCCAGGTCGTGGCAGGACCTGGCGAGCTTGCGGTGGCTGAGCCACGCTGTCCGGAAGTCCTCCCTGCTCTGGAACTGCTCCGGCGCTGGTGCTTTCAGGCCCCCGAAGAAACTGGAGGACGCCGGAGGGGCGTCTGACTGAGCCTGCAGGATGGACAGCTCAGACAGACTGTACGACCGCTTGCTTCGAAAAAACGGGTTGTCCCTGCGCAACACCTGCCCCACGCCCACAGTGGGACTGAGGGGGTTAAAAACACCGTTGCCCAGGCCGTTGGCGGCCGTGCTGCTGGTGGAGTTGTGCACCGATGTAGCGAGCGTATCAAACAGGAGGAGGTCAACTGATTTCTCATTACTGTTCTGATCGAGTGAGCTCTGAGGACCTTTGTTTAAGAAAGGGTTTGTCGAGGTATGGGTTGTTGCAAAAGGATTTCCATTCTGGAAGATGGTTGGTTTCAGAATGACCCCAGCCCACTCCCCGAGAAGGTCCGTCTCCTGGGCCGCATCTTCGGGACAGTCTCCCACCGTGTCAATCATCCCGCTGTCGCTGAAGGACGAGTCTCTGAAGTTGATGGGCTCCACATACGCCGCAGGGATGTAACCCATCTCCGTGTTGTTATGGGCGTACCACCACTCTCCTCCTGTCGAGTCCAGAACGTAGAGGCGGTCCCCTTTGCAGAACTTCAGGGTGGTGAAGCTGGACGGGCAGTAGTCCTTAATGGCAACCACTTCCCTGGCAGCACCGAAGGTGGCGGTAGCGTCCAGTCTTAAGGTACTGGGAGAAGGCACTGAAAGAAGACAAAAAACAAGGTCAAGTGGCCTCAAAATAAAGCCTTGGGTTTATTATGAGCAGCCGTGTGTGGGTTGTGGGTGTGGTTGCATTGAGCTGCTTCATTTCAGTGTCCCTGGATCTGATCCCCGGGTGAGGGGGCGTATCGGCACGCAGTACTGTCTACCACAACTTTCCAAATCCTAGACATGGGGCTTAAATAGATATTTAACTCCTGCACGAATCAAAACATGTAAAACATGATTGAAACACCGAATTAATTAATTGCACTTTTTAGTTTGAGCAGCTGACCTTTGACATCGTTGAGGCTGGCTTCTGACACTCCTTCACTGAGATCGATGAGCGTCCCCTCGGACTTGCAGCGTGGGAGGGGGGCGTTGTTGGAGGTGGCGGCTCTGATTCGATGGGCGGCCATGGTGGGAGCGCTCACAGGGCACCAACCGCCGTGCTCAGGCTACTCTAGTGTGCTGGTCAATTTGGGAGGGTCTAAGTCAGGTGTCAACGGCCACCCATGATCTCTGAAAGACACAGAAAGTATTGAGTTATATAACGTGCATGAAGAAAACCTACGTTTTAGGGTTTTTTTCTTCGCTTGTTATTTATCGTCTCTTCTGAAATGTCTCTTGTTGACCACGCTCATCACCCCTTTAATTCAGAAGGTTTTTATACTTAAGAGCTTTTAGTACGGCACAAATCAACAGAAACTAAGCCGTGAACGTGAGTGCAAAGTGGATGTGCATTCATATGTGGGTGATTAAAGGCTTCTAAATAACTTTGATCCTCCAGGCTGCTCTCTGGTACAGAAACAGACCAACGGGAGACTTGGTAAATCAATAGAAATAGAATTACAAATTAATGCGGTTGGCTCCCTCCTCGACGATACATGCTTCGTACAATCATCAACTTACAGATAGTGAGTGAAATAATTATTTAGAAGTCTCCAATTAATTACTCGATCAGTTTTCAAAACTAATAGGACACACTGTTGCCAGGTATGATTAAGGAAATGGATCTGCGAGCCTTAAATTAGTGGCCGGCTGACCTTCAGACTGCTCCTACGCTGATGAACTCCTGTGGCCGACAGGATCACTGCTTTCTCCAACACTAAAAAAGACTCGTTGAAGGAAAGGAAAAATATTTCTCACCAACAGGAAACTCACTCACGCGGCTTATTTGAAGGACACATTTGAAGCTCTTAACTGTCTCCTCTATTGTGGAGCACTTTCCACTCGGAGAGAGTAGGATTGACGAAAGTGAGTAATGCAACTCAAGAGCACAAATACAGGATAAAAGGTTGCGGGGAAAAAACACAGTTTTGCAGAATCTTTGTTTTAAGTAGCGCCATTAAAATGTTCCAGACGTCATTGTGATAAATTGTCCCAAAGTGAGCCCGCTCTTTTCTCTGCATAGAAACGTCAAGTTTGTTTTTCAGTGAGCATATATGTGTGTATCTATACATATATATATATGTATGAGCATATATGTGTGTACTACAATATGGAGTAGTTTGTGGAGATTGCAAAGGGAGAAAACAAACCCTGGAGAGGAGGACGTTAAGGCTCACGTCACACCTCCATGCCAGTTGTTTTGGGTCATCCCTAACATTGTGTCTGCTCTTCCGGTCTCTCCCAGTTTAACACGCAACTGCTACTTTTATGCGGCATTACTCGCAAACATAACGACAAATGAAATATGACATGAAGGGGCCGGAAACCAGTGGAACGTGCTGGTGTGAGAGACACCGGGCCGTCTCACTTGCATCCATAATTGATAACCGCGGCAGCTCAGAGGGGACGAGGTCGACGCACAAACACAAACACCGGACTACAAACTGGAAAGGCTCTGCTCCAAACACGTGATATCCTTGCATTACGCAATATCTTGGTGTCAACACCTTTGTCAGTCTGTGAAAACCTGCAACGAAATGTGCCGCCAACATTACAGATACAAACTTCTTCCACTGGAGAGTTTCATGTCTGGAGCTGACACGGGACACGTTACATGTGTTGTTCTCGCTGCCTCCTTGAAGGCTCTGGGTATCGAGTGGGAGGCAGATAAGGGCCTTTATCCAATGGACATATTAGGAGAAGCAGAGGCGTATCGCATTCACGATGTCTGTGTTGTTTTTAAATGAGTCGGGGGGGGTGCTGCTGTTGGTCTGTTCCCAACTGCTACGGGATGGATTGCAATCTTGTGAAGGGAAAACACACAATAACAGTAACAGTAATATTATCATTATAATTAAGAGATCTCTCTTTCCTTGCGGGCACTTGTGTGGTCATGTGATTGCGATGGCACGCTGCCTTGCTCTTACCTTTAGTCTCCCTACGTTTATCTATCGCGGCTGTTTTTCTGCGGCTACATACGAGACATCCACGGGGAGGCCGGCTCAGGAACGAACGAGCCGCCGAGCTGACGCGGGCGCTTTGCGTTGTGCTTTTAAGACTCTGAGTTCAGCAGCAGAACAGGACGTCCTCGTGTAACAGCTTCAGGACTTCAGAGGAAGCGTTCTGCTGAGCTTTTAGAAAGCGCTAATTGCCCGTTCGCTGATGCTGATTCGTTATTGGTGACGGCGGCTCGTGGAGTAGCGAGGGTGCACTGGGCAGGGTTGGCAGTTCGAACCCCGGCTGCCCCATGTCCCACGTTGAAGTGTCCCTGAGCAGGACCACCCAACTGCTCCCTGGGCTAAACGTGAACACCATGGGCACAAAACGTCAGCTAAATGACGCGTAATGTAATGATTTCGATGCGTAAAACCCGCAGTTTGTGACTCCACAAACGCGTCGCCGATGCTTTTTACGCGTTGACAGCCCGATACATAAATCGACGAGCCGCGCTGGTCAGATTCCCTCCAAAGGTTAGCATGCTCCGCTTCCTCTGCGGCACAACGTCTGGATCTCATCTCATTTGTGACGGGGGGGGGGGGGGGTGTTGAGGTAAACACTGGGTGGTCCGCAGGCAGCAGCAGCTATCACAAACTGAACACACTGCACTGTTTAACTCCCACCACAGAACAATGGTGGGAGGGGGGGGGGGGGGGGCTGTCCGCCTGTAAATTCTAGCAAGAACAACAGGAGAACCTGTTTATGCAAATTAACACACGTTGCCTGGGAATAAGGCGCTCCGGCTGTTAACAAGGCCCCCCCCCCCCTCCCGCTCTCTAAAAAAGTTCCCGCGAATTTTAGGGGCCCGGCTTTTCCCAAGAACTTCTTTTAGGGGGGGGGGTAACTGGCAACAACCATTTCTCTGTTGCCCCACCGGGGTCCCTGGGGAGAACGGAAATTCTCGGGGCTGACTTTTCTTCTAGACGCTCGGCAACGCACAAACCAGACGGGATGGTTTACGTTGCTGATGTGTGCGTGGGCCTTTGGGGGATGTTTGGGTTGAGACCCCACATTGGGAGGCTGAAAAGGGGATTGAATGAATAAGTGATGTTAAGTCTGTATTTTCTTATCTGTTGTACTTTATACTTTATAGGAACCGGGATCCTGGGGACAGACAGCACAGCTTGATCGGACTCTCTGAGGTCGCTTCCTTCAATAAAGCGAACAGAGTCCTACTGCAGATGAAAATGGCGTGCGGCAGACGGTCACTGCTCATTATCGGGGCACAGTGCTGGATTGCGATGCCTTTCTTTAGCTCCGTAAAGATGTTAGCGTGATAATCGACTAAACTGAAACACGGCTTCATATCACTCTCGGGCAGATACTTTATGCACATATTTACATGCATATCTATTCGTCACATAAACCTTAAATAATGTTAAATGCTCATGTTGACATTTTTGCTGCCGATACGATCTCCAGTAGCTCAGAAAGCACTTTCCCCACAGATTGAGGGGAACGTTTGAATTGACAACCAGGTCAAATATTAGAATTGCACAAAACATTAAGTACTTTTCTATGTGATAAAATGTTGCAACTGTTAAAGAAAATGTGAATAAATAACTACTTTAATAATAATAACTCTTCGACTATTCTCAATCTGACTATAATTCATCCCAGAAAAGCCAAATCTGCAGTTGTGGGGTGTATAAAATAACACAAGCTCCGCATCATCAACTAAACTTGATGATGTGTGATGTGAGGAGATCTCTTGGTCATTTGTGTTGTACGTTTCCCTGCAGAGTAGTTAAAGCGTTAAAGCTCAGAGCAGGATATCTGCTGTGAACATTACATTATGATCACGTCCGCCCTTCTCCGACCTCCGCTATCTTTCTCCCGTCCGGGCGGTGAGGTGGTCGCCGGCGGCATCTGGAGTGGCGGCGCGTTGACCCCGCCGAGGCTCAGTCAGCCGGCTCTTACACTCCAGTTCACAGCAGCGACCGTGGGAGATCAGACCGTCTCTATGAAGCTGTCAACCGTCCGACTGATTTTATTCAGCAGTGGACTTCCTGTGTGTGTGTGTGTGTGTGTGTGTGTGTGGAGGGGGGAGCCTGTCGCCAAGTGTTTTTTATTACAGATTCATCGGCAAAACACAAAGCACAAAGTTCAGCTGACCGGGCGCGGCGAGAGCTCACTGTCTTCTAAGGTGACGGATCAAACCTTTAGAAGTTGTGGGTCCCTCCCCACGGCTTATCCACTGTATATTTTAGTTTGTGTGCTTAAAGAGGACGCTTGGATCCCTGATTGTATCGGGAGCCACAAGCTGCCGCCCGGCTTACTCGCCACGTAAAGTTTACGCTGTTGTTGCCGTTAAGCGGAATACTCGTCTGCGCGTTTCTGCTCAGGGGAAACGGCCGCGCAGGAAGGCAATTAATGAGGCTGTAAAGCTGGACACCGTACAAGGTCAAAGACACTTCCCACCGCAGCAATAAAAAGCATCCTGATGCCCCAATGACCCCCCCCTCCCACTCCGTACACCCGCTCGGTGCAGCCCGAGCCTCCGCTGCGGCTTTCAGGATGACTGCTCGTGAGCAGGAAGTGGCTGAGGAGGAAATGCCTTTGTGATGAGAGGGGGGCCACATCTCCCGCTCCCGCCTGCCGTCCCCGTTTCCCTCAAAGCGCCGCCTTCCACGCATTGTTCTCCTCTGCTCAGTCCAGAAGGATGCTCGGGACTCAACGGGGAGAGAGAATGTCTCCGATTTCATTTCGGTAGGAGATCGTCGACACACAGGAAGTGATGGAACTTCATGTAAATAAAATATATATAATAATAATAATAAAATGAGATCTGCCTCGTCAGCATCTGAAACTGGAATACTCTATTCAGGTTGAGCACTGTGTGAAGTCCTTTTTACTACCTGTTTCATGACTGAATGCAGCAGAAACATTAACGTGCACATTTTGCTTTCGCGCTGCACGCAAAGAGAACTTAATTATGAACTATTGTTAAAAAAAGACAATAGAACATTCTAAAGAGGAAATAACAAATTCCTCCTCTGACAGACAAAAGCTAAACAATAGACACTCGTGGGTTTTGGTATTAGCATATAACAGTAGGTTTTTGTACTGGAGTTAACTGACTATATGACAGAACATCCACACAGCGACGGCACTGAGCGGTCCGATATCCAGCA